GTGGATAGTGACGATCTCCTCTGCCCTTCGTTTGAATTAAGCCATGGGTACGCCGCAGAATCCATCCACAATAAGCCTTCCGATGTCTTGTTTCGGTCAATGATCGACCTGTCAAGTCGTCTCGCCCAGGGGCCTCGACGGGACTCAAAAAGATGAGGCCCATTCAACTGCCAAGTTCCGAATCCTTCAAGCCAGGACCTCAAAGACTCCGACCCTCCTTGCGACCTCTCCAGATTCGCTACCACCAATCGCTGGTCCCCGTTGAAATTGACTCGTGGAGGAGAACAAGATTTAGGGAGATGAATCGGAACCTTTAATTGTGAGGTGCCCCAAACCGGATCCCGTCTGGATCCCGCGTTATCGTCTTTTCTGTCTTTCCACATTTGACTCGATTGCAAGATCGACGCAGGACGGATCATGATAGGACCAGGCGGCGATGCGCCCATGGCGCTGGCCGTTCTTTGGGGCTTGACGGGTCTTGCTTTCTTCTTCGTGCTGCTGCGATTGTATACTCGACTTGTCATCCTTCAAGCCTACGGCGTAGACGACCACTTCTTCAACCTTACTTTCGTGAGTGCCATGGTTTACAGATAACCAAACACAGCTGCTTCGCAGACCTTGGCTGACACTTTCATACTCAGCTCCTCTTCGTCGCCTACGATGTCATGCTCACAATCTCCTCCTTCTACGGCTTTGGCAGGAATATCCTAGAACTTGAGATGGACAACGTGCCAAAAGCGATTTTATACGAGGCAATCGGCAGCACAATCCTCGTATCCGCCATCGTCGTGTCCAAAGCCTCCCTAGCACTGTTCCTCCTCCGCCTTGTGAACACTCGCCTGCACCAGGTTCTTGTCATCGCCCCCGTCGTCATTTTGTTCCTCATCGCCTTGGCCTCGCTTCTCGTCTTCTGGTTCTCGTGTACGCCGATCAACTTCCTGTGGGACCGGCTGATCCCCGACGGAAGCTGCCCGATCGACCCCGGCCCCATATCGACGGCTGCGGGAGCTTGGAGCGTCGTCGTCGACTTTTGGTACGCTGTTACGCCGTGGGCGTTATTGTGGAACGTTCAGATGCCGAAGAGAGAGAAGTTGCTCATCAATTTGAGCATGAGTCTGGGCGTCATGTGAGTGCTACCCGCACTGTTGAAGGCATACACCTTCGACATCGGCAGGTTGGAGTGACTTGAAGCTAATGTACATGATAGCGCTGGCGCATGCGGCATTCTGAGAGCGCTGCAGCTCAGGAACCTGAGCAGTGTGAACTTTACCAGTAAGTCACCCTTACGTAGATCTCGGTCCTGCACTCCCTACAGTTGCCCTCACGTACCACCATATATACTTATCGTTAACACGAACACCCAACAGAGGACACGGTTGCCTTGATAATATGGCATGCGGCAGAACTGGCAGTAACTCTCGTCTGCATTGGAATCCCCGTGTGCCGCCCCCTCTTCAAGGGCTGGCTCAGCAAGTGGTCATCCCGAAATGGCAGCAGGCCTGGGCCATACACCAGAGACATGACCGGATCCAACTTGGGGTTCGGTTTGAAGACGATCGGCGGCACCGACTACACCGTCAGGGTCGGGTTGAAGACGCCAGATTTGGATTTGGGAAGCCTCGCGGGTCGAAGCGGCGAGGGACGATTCGGGAGTGGCACGAGGTCTGCTGGAAAGGGCTTCGGCGACAACGAGAGCGTGGACTCAATACTGGGTCCGGATGATCGATACGGCCAGGGGCGGAACGTTGATATCGAAAGGTATTCCAGTGAAGAGGGGAAGGGGGGTAAGCAAAATATTCACGTCTGGGTGAAGTCGGAAGTGGTTGTCAAGTCGACAGCAAGAGACTAAGGAGGTACACGAAATTCTGAACAGATTCAATTCGTTATGCGACTTCGCTTTCCTCTTTCAGGTCTTCAGTTGCTCGATGCACCTCCACTGGACAATAGACACTCGTCCCTATCGACGATGCGAGCATGTTTACGTCTCAACCTAGCGACTGACTACGGTTGTTTTTGTGATCATGATCCTCCCAGTCCGTGGGCTATCCAGGCCCCCTCGCTCTTCGCCTGTACTGTCATCTGAGCTCCTTTCCGCGTTAACCTGAGTAGTCGTAGTCCCCATGTTGTAGCTATCTCGACCTCCTGCGGACTTCATGTTCCTCAACTCCCACGCCAGATGCTCTTCGCTTTCCGACATCTGCTTGAAGCCGTCGGATCGAGCGCTGTGTTTATTGTGTAGCCCAGCCGCGCTATTGCCAGTGGTATTGCCGCCAGTCGCATTCGAAGTCGCTCCGTTGCCGCGTCGTTGACTTTGTAGGCTGAGACCCAGCACTCGACCAACCGTACGATCGAAGACGGGACGGAGCATTGGGCTGGATGCCACCATGACAGCGATACCGGCTTGCAAGACGCCGCTGACGCTGGCTATGGCGAAGCCTTTGGTGACGTTGATGAAGTCGATGTTGTAAGCATAGTAGAGTCGCACACAGGAGAAGACAACCGTGCTATCGAGTATGACGAGATGATCAGCTCTTCTTCACGTACAGAGGGATTTGCTAGCCGCCACATGTTTTTTACCGATCACTGTGAAGAAAAAGAATTGCCGGCCAAAGACTTACATGAAACCGGCGCAGAACACTCCATATAGGGCAATTTTGTGCGCTCGTCGAACCTGCAGCTGGGCAACAAACTTGATCGGAAGCCCGACAATAATGATATCAGTGATGACATCGAAGATCGCTACCGCAGAATACGCCGTGGTATGGTTGCCGCAGGTTCCTTGCACGCTCGGATCCCATGCCATCTGTACAGGCTGACAGATGAGAAATCCTATCAGAGCCGTGTACAAAGCCCAGCATACCGACAGCGCCATGGCAATCCAGGCAAAGAGCCGGAACGCCGTCGAGTGACCAAAGAAGATGCGCTGGAGCATCCAAGTGATGCTGAGCTTGACGAAGCCCAAGGCCGCGGCGTAGAGGACTTGCGTGGCGAGCGATATTCGAAAGTAGTGGTACTTGTGTTCGTCGCTGAGGTTCCATACATCATGGCCTGCGCCGCCTACTACTACAGCTTCGGTTCGTAACATCAAAGTCAGTGTCCGCGCTCTCGTCGCCTATTTGAGCATTGAAGGGAATCCCTACATACCTAGAATGAAGCATGCTGCCGCACCATAGAATAACAACTCAACACTAGTTAGCGCTGGAGGATTGTCTCAACGTGCCTGATAATTACCTGAGCTGTGAAGTAAAGATAGTCCTCGGTCAAGTAGGGAATCTTCGTGATCTTCCGGGCCCAGACGCGGAAGACGGTCCAGCATGTGGTCAAGCAGAGCATCACCGACGCCGTGGCAACGAGAGTGGCCCCTGACGACGTGAGAGGGGGAAACTTTTCAGGGATGATGGTTGGAGCCGGTGTTGTGCCACTAGCCTGACGAACTCGGAGGGCATTTGGGCTTTCCATGACTGACGACAAAGAGAGGAAGATGAGAGGAAACAGCAAGATGTGGAAAGTCTGGCCTCAAAGGCACTTGAGGTCGGACTAGTAGGCTGGAGAGAATAGAAGTCTGTCAGGAACAGCCATCTTTCAGACTTGGACGAACAAAGGTGTGCGGTAAAGTCAACAATAACCGGGGAGAGGCATCCCAACTTTCCAAGTGACCTTGATTCTGATGAGCCCCTGCAACAACACGAGTGCTGCTCCAAAACGGAAATATCTGCGAGCGAACGCGACAAGCTTCTCCAACAGATTTCAAGGAGTTTTGATCCGCTGCCACATCTGCAGCGGTTTTCTTCAAGTCCAAGCTGCTGGATGTCGCATGTACTTCCCATGCTCACATCTTGCGGCGTCAGCGAAATCGAGATGCCTGCCTTCTGGAACTATGGGCATATGGCCTAATTTGCATGAGATATATCGGGTCTTCCTATTTCCGGCGGAAAGCATGCAATCATCGCCATTCGATTGGTCCGCATAGCGCAAACGAGCTGCAAAATCTGGTGATAACCCTTGTCAAGAGAGCATGCAATTTGTGATTATCGTGTTGGAAGTTTGTTTGCTTCTCCCATGCTGCATGTCGTTGGTTGTTAGTTGCTACAGGCATCAAAGAACCAGGTTGGTGGATTATCACGCAGGATTCTGTGGGACTTGGATATGTCCATGGGTAGGCAGAGTCCGCGTTACTTGATGCAGGAGAGACACGTCCGTAGCTGTGCGAGTAAATCTCTTGAGTAATATGTGTTTCTCAGGTCCACAATATTTCGATTTTCTGTGATGTTCCCGCGTGGCCATAGTCACCTAGCAGTGTAATCCTCAAACGGCTTAACTCAGTTATTGCTTTGTGCATCACGTCCGGGAATTTCTCATGCTGTCGAGAAAAGGCCGCAAAGGCTGTGCGGCGTGTCAAATTGATGCAAAGACGCGGCACAGCGAGCGGGATGCCGCTCATTCCCCAGGGGTTCGCGATCTCGGCTCGGTCGATTGGGTTATAAGACCGTCCGATACCCGGGATAGGACCATGATCTTTACGGAAGTTCGTCCGGGTCCGCAAAAGACCGGAACAGCCCCGGGTGCGGGTCCCTCATCTAAGCCTGCATCGAGCCGATGAGCGCTCCTCTTCCGAGGTCATTAGTGCGTGCTTTGATGCAACTATGTTCCAACGACTGTCCACAACGTGGATGTTTGCCTCCTTCAGACCCTAGACGGGCTGTTGGTTGTCCAACGCATCTACACACCCTCTGCTGGGGGCCTTGTATCCGAAGCTCTAGATTCGATGATACCTGGCATGTGGCGCGACAACAAACCGCAAGATGGGCTGTCGACGGGCCCGAACTGCATTCCGTCGGACCAAAGAGAAGGTGGCAATGTTATCGTCGGAAGTGTGACGAGATCCTGCCTTGTATAAGGAGTAAGCACGGCTCTGCCAATTCATGTCTTCGCAACTCCCGGCAACTCGTCGCTCAAGTCAGCCAGTCATTCTTTAAGGCACTCAAATTCCCGTCTAAGCCATGTCGTTGTGGGATTTCATCGTTGTCGGCGGAGGCCTTGCCGGCTCCGTCATATCCAACAGACTCCTCCACAAAGATCCGACCCTGAAGATCCTGCTGGTCGAAGCTGGGCCCAATGTCAATGGTCTCGAGTCTATCGCGTACCCAAACACCAGTACCGGTGCCGGGAGCGACATTGACTGGGCTTATACCTCAGTTCCGCAAGCCAACGTAGACAATAGATCGATCGCTGCGCCCGCTGGCAAGGCCCTCGGTGGAGGAACAGCCATCAATGGAGGTAAGTATTGATCAACACCACTCTACAACACATTTCATTAACCATCGCTCATCTTAGCTGCCTGGGTCCGCGGCCACACGGTTGACTACGACCTCTGGGCCGAAGAAGTCAGCGACAATCGATGGAGCTACGAGGGCCAGCTTCCCTACATGAAGCTGACGGAGAAGTTCTTCGACGCCAGCATCAACCCTTCCCAGCACGGTGAGAACGGTCCCATGATCGTCCAGGGCGTCACGCCCATGAACCGACACTTCCCCATGCGAAAAAAGCTGGCCGAGTCCCTCGAAGCTCTCGGTATCGCAGCGCTGCCCCAGCTTGACGCGAACGCCGGAAACCCCATCGGCTACGGAGACCTCCAGGAAAACCGCAACCAAGGGCGCAGACAGCTATCTTCAGAAACCTTTCCTTTGGACGGTGTCACCGTGATCACCAACACAATGGTCGAGAACATCCTCGTGTCCAAGAGTTCCAACAGCACCGCCGTCACAGCCGAGGGCATCCGCCTGCAAAACGGAACAGAGTACCACAGCCGCAAGACGATCCTCTCCGCCGGCGCCTACCGCACCCCTCAGCTCTTAATGCTTTCAGGCATCGGTCCCGCCAACGTCCTAACGGAGCACGGCATCGAGGTGAAGCTCGACCAGCCCGAGGTCGGCCAGAACATGCACGACCACATCCTCATGCCCACGGCGTGGAAGGTCAAGAACCCCTCCGAGGGCTGGGCCTACGAGTCGGACAACCCGCTCTTCAAAGAACCGCAGTACGGCCTCGGCAACAAGATCGACTTCCTCGCCACAGTCACCTTACCCAAGGAAGGACTTGCGGCGGCCATCGCTGAGGACGAGGGCGGCGTTGCGCCGGGCCCGGAGCATCCGCTCCTCCGCCAGGACCGCGCGCACGTCTCCCACACGCTGCAGTATAACGGCGCCTCGACCGACGGCTCTGCTGTCCTTATGCTGTCCATCGTGCTGATCGATACCTCGAGGGGCTCGGTGGGCATCTCGTCGGCCAACGTCAGCGACCCGCCCGTCATCAACCCAAACTACCTCAGCACGGCGGTGGATAGGTACGCCGTGCGGGAAGCTCTCAAGTTTGATACCCGGCTTCTCGGGAGCGATCTGACGCCCGTCGGTCGTGAGATCCTCGACGGCGAGCTCACGCCTGACACGCCTCTAACGGTGGATTCCCCTGACGAGGCGTTTAACGCGCGCGCCCGCCAGGTTGCAGGGTAAGTTCCTTCTCCCCCACAACAGTTCCTACCACCATTTGCTAGGAAGACAGGACTGATAGTTGGACACAGATCATGCTTCCATCCCAGCGGAACGGCATCCATGGGCAAGGTTGTCAACACGGACCTCAGCGTCAAGGGCGTTGACGGGCTTTTCGTCGCCGACTCCTCCATCTTTCCGGTTTCCATCTCTGCCAACCTGCAGGTGGCCATGTACGCCATGGCCCTCCAGGCTGCGGAGATCATTGGGGAGCACGGGAGCAAGTGTCGTCAGGTTCGAACCACGTTGTAATGAGGTGTCTGTGATGATGATATGATGTGTGAGATAGCACAACGACGAACTCTTAATACCCACGTCTTGGAAATGCGGAAGCTTCAGTCCTTGACCTCAGGCTGTGAGTTCTGACAGTATCAAGTCTCTCGGTGTACACTTCAGAGAGGCAATTTCGAGACCCAGAGTCTATGATGAGCATAGTGTCGTTCGTGCTGTATTACTCATAGTTCAAGTAATGGCCGATCTGATTGCAAAGCAGACTGCATCGTCCCGATACAATGTATAAGCGGAGCGGGGGAACCCTGAGTATCTAGATGCCAAAAGTCTAAAGCAGTTGTGAATGTTCGTTCCGCCGTGCCTACAATTCGATACTTCCTTCCAGCTTCCTACTTGTGTCATTTCATGCTTAATTTCTTTCGTGGTCCATGTGATTTATGGTGTCTGACTCGAACTCTATCGCTATATGAGAGATTTCTCTGTGGGCACATCGAACCATATGTTTCCGGGTGGTATATATGTAAACGTTTTGTCAGGTGAACTCCCTCACTTGTTACGATACCAACATTACTACAATATCTTCTCTTCTTGAGACTAGATTAGCGTGACCGTAAAGCGGGAGAGAAGAAAGAGACAGGATACTCATGCTCAACTGACAGAATCAACATGGGACTTGACTGAGCCCTCTTAAGAGCTGGAACCGGACTTGAGATTGAAGTAACTTAATTACTCAAGAGCGGAAAACGTAAGGAAATGCGCGACGCTCGACGGCCCCCCGCACAACGAACCGTCCCGACCTTGCATCGGCACGCCGCCCGGCCGCTTCAAGCCGAAGACGGGACGGAGAAGGCACTCACGAGTTACAAGTCGAGCTTGACACTTCCCCGCAGTGGCAAGTTTCCCCGCCATCGAGCGGCGGCGCACTGACCATCCCGCGTTGCGCCCTACATAGGTTGTCAAATCTCCTCATTGCTTCAACCAGGCCTGCTGGCGAAATGGCATCGCGTCACATTTCGGCTCCTTAGTCTCTCTGTGAAGATGGTAGGTTCGATCCCTACGTAGGTCGGTCTAACCTTTTGACTTTTTCACCAGTGCGCACACCCGTATTCCTGTTGCGCTTTAAGATTATTTTTTTAGACTGCTTCTGGCATGTTCAGTCACTTTTGTAGATTGCAGCAAAAAAAAAAAAAAGCTTTTGATCATAATCACTTCTACTTTTTCATCGTTCGTCTGTTCCACCGAGTTGCACCGTCAGCAATCTTGCTGCACCGTCACAAGCCGTCAGTCTGTTATCGACAGGCCATCCAACGCCCTGCAGTGACAGCAACGCCCTACTGCGACAGCCTGAGCCCGCGTCCACCCGCCGACAGCTGCGACGAAGTTCAGGGTCCAAGCTCCATCAACCAATCATTTCTCTCAGATAACCTGCCTCTGGGCCTCTGGGGTCCTGTCTTTTCCCCCAAATCCCACCGATCTCGGGAGCTCACCCGACGATAGCCCATCCTATCCGTTCCTGCTATCAAAAAAACCACCAAACCCAATCCAAATCCCACGAGAACCCTCACTCACACCGCAATCACCTTCTTCCCCTCCCCCAAGACCGCCGTACCACCAGCGTTCGTCGGCACCGCTCCCGCCTTCTTTGGTCGCGTGGCATTGCATTGCATTCGATTTACCCCTCACTTGAGCACTTTGGGACATATTTACCCTCGAAGAGAGCTCTCAATTGCGGGAGACAGACAAAGAAAGCTTCGCGACGATCCCCGTTGCTTCTCAAATTGCTTCACCACCAAAACACACCTCGAACCTCACGCCCGATATGTCGGCCTCACTCCCCGGCAGCCGCGAGCTGCCCGCCTCGCAGTATGATCTCAGCACATACATGGGCCGCGTGCGGCACAACCTGGGCCTCACCGACCCAAGGTACGTCCATACCCCCACTCCCAGTCGCGCATCGCATCGCATCGTCACGATCATGACTCCTTGCGCGTGTTTGTCCCAAAACCACCACCACCACCACCATACAAGCCTTCCTCCTCTGGCCTCACCAATGCTTCTACCACCATAGAACCAAGACAATCTACTGACATGTCTCCCCAACCAACAGCACCCTCCTCGTCGGCAGCACCGGTCTCGAGCAAGCAAAGTCCCTCCTCACCGACTACAAGCAGGGCAAGATCCCGACAATGACCCCCGAGCTCTGGCAGGCCAAAAAGGTCGTCGATTCGACCCTCCACCCAGGTGCGACGAGCCCATAAGAACAAAAACACACACTGCCTCTTTGCGACAAAGGGCTCGTTGCTTGTTTGCTTCTTCTTTTCCTGTTCGGTACCCCGGTGACTAACACGCGGCGCACTCGCGCCCCTCACCCCGTGTAGACACCGCCGAACCCGTCTTCCTCCCCTTCCGCATGTCCGCCTTCGTCCTGACCAACTTGGTCGTCACAGCTGGAATGCTCCAGCCCGGTCTCGGCGTGAGTTGAACCCCGAGTAGAAGCAGGAAGGACAGTTGCGGTCCTAACACAAGTTGCACAAACAGACAGCAGGCACAATCGCATGGCAAGTCGTGAACCAGTCCCTCAACGTAGCCATCAACTCGGCAAACGCAAACAAGTCCTCCCCCTTATCCTGGCGCAAGCTCGGCGAGTCCTACGCAATGGCCGTCTCCGTCTCCTGCGGTGTAGCCGTCGGCCTCAACAAGCTCGTGCCCCGGCTCAAGAACCTCACCCCCGCGACCCGCACGACGCTCACCCGCCTCGTCCCCTTCGCCGCCGTCGCCTCGGCCGGCTTCCTCAACGTCCTCCTCATGCGCGGCGAGGAGATGCGCAAGGGCATCGACGTCTTCCCCGTCGTCGCGGAGAAGACGCAGGCCGCCGAGACCAAGGAACAACAGGCTGTCGAAGGCGCCGCTGCCACCAGCCAACAACCCCAATCCCTCGGCCGCAGCAAGAAGGCGGCCCAGATCGCCGTCGGCGAGACGGCCTGCTCCCGCGTCTTCAACTCCACGCCCATCATGGTCATCCCCCCTCTCGTCCTCGTCCGCCTGCAGGCCCAGCAGTGGCTCAAGCAGCGGCCCCGCCTCACCGTGCCCGTCAACCTCGGCCTCATCCTCGTGACCAGCTACGCCGTCCTCCCGCTCGCCCTCGCCGTGTTCCCCCAGCGACAGAGCATCAGCGCGGACAAGCTCGAGCCCGAGTTCCACGGACGCGGCGGCGAGGGCGGTCTCGTTGTGTTTAACAGGGGTATCTAGATATCTCTCTATACTCTCTCTTGCATTCTTCGTTTGCTGTCAAAAGGCATCCCAAAGCGAAGTTCACATTGAGCGCAGGAAGAAATTCAAAGCATGAGCGGGTGGGCAGACGGGAACGTCACGAAACGCGGATGTTTCTGACTGTCTACGCGGTACAGGCAAAGGCAAGTCTTGCCGAAGCAGTCTGTCCTGCCTACTACCTTACCCCATGATACCGTCCATCTGCCCTGGCATATCTGTCGCAATCGCATCCGTCAGTCTGGGGGGCAAAGACTCAAAGAAAAAGGAGGGCAATGTCTCCTCCGTCCAACCACCCCCCTGACGAGCGTAATATGGGACAGAGAACCCGGTATCAGATCGGACGTTGGAAGTGTTTCACGCAGCTACAAAGTCATTCTTGGCAAACACCACGATTATCTCCCCCGTTCAGATTTTTTTTGAGCCGTGGCGCATGGTATAATGGGCATCAACTGGCTGTTGGTTTACATGCATAGCCTACGGCAATCTGTGTCCAGATGCACATTCAGGGAGGAACGCGTAGGACTTTGTTGTAGCCAGATGGACACAACTGTCCGCAATTGAAACAAGAACTTCAGATACGTCACGGGAAGTCTTCGTGATATTCAAATCAATCCGCATCAGCCAAAAGTCGGAACAAAATCGTGATAAAACATGGACAGCATGCGAGGCGGTATATAAGTGTGAGCAAGGCACCGCACCTGTCGACAATTCCCACCACCACAACATATGCTCTGCGTAAAGACGGAAAAACGTTATGCAACCGTGACGACAAGCAGCTAGCCAAACCCACCGGCTTTGACACCGTATTCTAGACCACGCCGCTTATGTGCTTCTGCACTTGTGTACTTGTGAGCGTGTGTGCCTTGACAGGCACGACGACACCACCACCACCTCGACAGTTCGAGAACGGGACAAATTACGAACTTGGCCTCAGAATCGCCATCAACGGGGGATCAAAAAGGAGGGGTGGTGGGATGACGGACGGGGTCAGCGGGGTTGCTTAGGTACTTACTTACCATCTTATCGAGGCTGGCTCAGGCTCCGTGTAGACAAAACCAAGACAGTTCAGTCCCGTTAATTATAGTCCATCGAGAGCGGCACATGTCAGACTTCTGATAGCTTCTACAATTGTTTCTTTCGTAGGTAGTTTGATAAGGGCCAGAGATCTGGGAATCATGGAAATACCCTCATGCTGGAAGCAGGCGTGGATCAGCATATCAACAACCTTTGTGTCCGAGTTCAGTCTGTTTTCTGGCCTTCATCCGACACCTCTCCAGTATAGCTCCTCCTCATCTATTTTACGATGAGACAGAATGTTGAGGATAGTGCGAGAGGGCATGGTTTTATCAAAGCTGTCCTATTATATTGCAATTCATGTTTCCTTCGCGAGCCCGCTACGAAAGCCATCTGTAGCTCTGGGTTACATTTCGTCCCCCGATTACGTGCATGCTAAAGGGGGGGGGGGGGGGAGACGAGCGTACCTGCGACGCAAGCACGGGTCGCGGGCTCTGAGAAGAAGGAAGAAGAAAGCACAGCGGCTCGACGGCATGTTTGCGTTCAAGGAACTGAAACTTTTCGGCCGTCAGTGGTGGCAGGTGGCAGCAGCACGATCTACCTGGGATAATGCATGGCTTGAGAGCGTCGAGACCGAGAGAAAAGTCCCAATTTGCTATTCAGGTCGGGTGCGGATGCTTCTCTGCTCATGCTTCTCTGCTCATGCTGGCACGATTGGACCGTCACCCAGCATCGCT